GACCGATGTTGGCTGGACGCTTCCTGTTGAAAACTTGACGAGTAGTTGTTCAACAAAGTGATAGCAAAATCTAAAATTTTCCTTCTTAGAAACCTTTAATTTAAATGTAGTTTAGCGTCGAGAAGCCGAAATGAAGCCAAGATCAGTTCTTCGTTGTTGTTTGCCGTCGTAATGTTTCCTTTTTAATGCTGAGCTGAAGAGCTTCAGGCGGAACCAACAACTAGATTAACAGATCTATTTAAATTAAAATATTTTATCAGGAAGGGAGTCATGTTCTTTGTAAAAACGTGTGAAACCTCTTTACCGGGTATTCTAAAGAGCCGTTCTTTGAAATTTCACAAAACTCTTCTATGCGTGACTTCCCAGGAATGATTGCAAACGTGAGCAGACCCGTCCCAAACCTCGCACACTTTTTTACTCCGTCGGAGCTATCGCGTTTTACTAACTAGCCCTTAGGATTCTTCTTTCAGTGAGAAGTGCGCCCTGGATACCAGTCAATTTTTATCTCGCTATATCGTTTTTGAGATTCCAGCGTGACCTAGGCGTCCGAAAGTTGTCTTCAAATGTGGTAAAAGTTAAACTAAGGAGGCCGCCATTCAGAAAAAAGAATCTCAGCAGCGTAGCCTCTTGTAAAACCACAACGCACGGTACGCAAACGGCTGCAGCTATGGTTAGTGCAAAAAAGAAAGTATTTCAGTCAAGAGGGCCTTCTTGTGTAACCCCTACACTTTAAAATAGATCACATTTACCCGGAGAAGTACGAAACAATGCGCATTGCCCATAACCGTGACAAGTCGTCCCCTTCGTATACTATGGGAGTCGCAATCAAACCAGTAAAGCGTGTGAAAGACCTCGGAGTTCTGATTTCCTATGAACTGTCGTGGGGGGGCTCAAGTTAATGCTGCTGTGAACAAAGCTATTAAAATCTCGGGCATTGTTAACAGAACGCTTGAATCTACAAACCAAGAAGTATTTTCTATTCTGTACATTACTGTAGTAAGACCAATTCTTGAATACGTAGCCCCAGTGTGGTGTCCGTAGTTAGTAAAAGACATACAAGCACTTGAAAAGGTCCAGAGGGGGGCATCTCGCCTTGCTCTTGGACAAAAGCGTGGGGAAATGGAATATGAGGAACGTATCAGAATTTTGAACTGTCCCACTTCAGAGAAACGGAGACACTTCATTTCACTTATAGAATGCTATAAAAATTGTTTCTGGCCTAAATAACCTAAAGTTCAGGGATTTTATTTAAATCGCCCGAGATAAAAGGACACGAACCAACCACTTTTTTAAATTGGACGTGAAAAATGCAATGATTAACCCCTATAAATATTCATTTTTTATTCGCATAGTGAAAGAATGGAATACTTTACTGCAGTATGTGGTTGAAGCCGAATCTTTTAATCTGTTTAAAGCGAGGTTAAAGTATTTTTAAATATGTGAATATGTAAATAGCGATAAGCAGTAATCAGTCTATGCACATATTATTTATTTATTTTTTATTTTTTACTCATTTAATAATAATAACAATAACAACTTTATTAATCTCCTCAAAAAGGCTTTTCAGCTTAATTTACCATGTGAAATATCTAAAACTTAGTTTTCCAAAAATACCCTTAAAAATGCTGTTTTATTTTTACTTTAAATACATCTAAATTAGTGATAGACTGAAACTCATCTGGGAGACTATTCCACAGCTTTTGGCCTCTGGAAGTAAATGTGCGCTGACCTGCAACCGTCCTACAGAGTGGTATACGTAGGCGGTCCCTATTCCTTGTGTTGCAGTTGTGCACTTGAATGAATGAAAAACTTTATTTAAGTGTCTATGTTTTTAGCTATAAGCTAATGGGGGACACTAAAAAATTTAAAAGTCAAATACATTTACATATGTAGATAATAGTTATTTAC